ATCAAATTCTTCTTTATATATAGTTATGCATGATACTTATTATGTTGTAGCTCATTTTCATTACGTTTTATCAATAGGAGCTGTATTTTCTATTATTGGAGGATTTATTTTTTGATTTCCTTTAATTACTGGATTTACTTTAAATTCAAAATGGTTAATAACTCAATTTTTTGTGATATTTATTGGGGTTAATATAACTTTTTTCCCACAACATTTTTTAGGATTAAGAGGGATACCTCGACGGTATTCTGATTATCCTGATAGATATTTAATATGAAATATAGTTTCATCAATTGGATCATTAATTTCAATTGTAAGAATACTTATATTAATTTATATTATTTGAGAATCTTTTATAGTAGAGCGATTAGTGTTATTTAAAAATTATTTAATAGTATCAGTAGAGTGACTACATTTAGCTCTTCCTTTAATACATTCATATTTAGAAGGTTCATTACAAATTAAGTAAAAAATGAAAGAATGATTTATTTTAATATTACAAGATTCCGCTTCTCCAATAATAGAATGAATAATAATATTTTATGATTTTACTTTATTAATTAATTTAATTATTGTAGTTTTAATTTTATGAGTTATTATAAATGTTGCTCTAAATAAATTGATTGTTTTAATAGTAGAAAGTCAAGAGATTGAGATTATTTGAACTATTATTCCTATTTTTACTTTAGTAATTTTGGGGGTTCCTTCTATAAAAATTTTATATATATTAGATGAGGTTTATTCCCCTTTTTTAACAGTTAAAGTGGTGGGGCATTAATGGTCATCAATGGTCTTATGAATATTCTGATTTTATAAGAAAAAGGGTGGATTCTTATATAGTGAAAGATATTATTTTAAGGAGATTTCGTTTATTAGATAGAACAGAAAATTTAGTGTTACAAATAGATGTACAAATTCGATTTTTAATTTCCTCTGAGGATGTAATTCATTCATTTGCTGTTCCTTCAGTAGGAATTAAAGTTGATGCTGTTCCTGGGCGGTTAAATCAGGGGGGGTTAATATATCTTTACCTGGTTTTCATTTAGGGCAATGTTCAGAAATTTGTGGAATGGCTCATAGATTTATACCTATTATTGTTGAAGGGAGGGGAGTGGAGAATTTCATAGATTATATAGAAGAATTTATTGAAGAGTAAAAAAATAGGATAATTTTAATTTAATTAAGTAACTTAAGTTTAAAGTAATTATTTTTTAAATTATTTATAGTAATATTTATTAGTACTCTTAATTAATTCCTCAGATAAAGCCAATATATTGATTATTGTTAATAATGTATTTATGGATTTTATGAATTTATTATATAATTTTAATGGGAGGATTTTTTTCAAAACTTTATTTAATAAAAATTAAAAAAGATGAAGTTTTGGTAAGTAAATGGATCGTTAAATGATAACTAATTTATTTAGAGTTTTTTATACTTCTAGAAGAATTGATTACTCTTTAAATTGAGTAAGGATATTGATATTAAGTTTATTTATTCCTCAATTATATTGAGTTTTATCAAGAAAATATTGTATTGTATGAAAATTAATTTTAATGGGGGTAGTTAATGAAATTAAAATTTCTTTAGTTAATTTTAATAAATTAAATGTTTTATTATTTATATTTTTATTTATTTTTATTATACTTAATAATTTTGTGAGTTTATTTCCTTATATTTTTTCTAAAACAAGACATATTTGTATTACAGTTACAGTTTCTTTAATAATTTGAGTAAGAATAATAATCTTTGGGTGAGTTAATTTTTTTAATCATATATTGGTTCATTTAACTCCTCAAGAAACACCAGATGTTTTAATACCTTTTATAGTAATAATTGAATTTATTAGGAATATTATTCGTCCTTTAACTTTATCAGTTCGTTTATAATTTTAGGGATTATGGTATTTTTATTGGTTTTAATTCAATGTATTTTAATAGTGTTAGAAGTTGCTGTTTCTTTTATTCAATCTTATGTTTATTCTATTTTAAGAGTTTTATATTCTTCAGAAACTAATTATGAAAATATTACATAATTTGATTTTTCATTTAGTAACGGTGAGGCCTTGACCTATTTTAAGATCATTTAGAGTTATGAGAACTATAATTGGAGGGATTATACTATTCAGTGATAAATTTATTTATTTAATAAATTTAGGTCTTTTGTCAATTATTTTATGTAGAATTCAATGGTGACGAGATGTAATTCGTGAAGGAACTTTTCAAGGGAGTCATTTAAGACGAGTTGTGGAAGGGTTAAAATTAGGGATAATATTATTTATTTTATCTGAAGTTATATTTTTTTTATCCTTTTTTTGAACTTTTTTTCATTCATCTTTATCTCCAAATATTGAAGTTGGAGGAGTTTGACCTCCAAGGAACATTCTTCAATTTGACCCTTTTCAGCTTCCTTTGTTAAATACAGTAATTTTATTATCATCTGGAGTTTTAGTAACTTGGAGACATAGTATTTTAAATAGAGATAATGAAAGAAGACAAGTAGGGCTTTTTGGTACAATTATGTTAGGGAGGGTATTTTCAATAATTCAGTATATAGAATATTATGAGGCTACTTTTTCTATAAGAGATTCTGTATTTGGTTCAATTTTTTTTTAACAACTGGGTTTCATGGGGGGCATGTAGTTATTGATATTGACATTTTGTTGATGTAGTATGGATTTTTGTTTATATTTTAGTTTATTGATGACATTGATAATCTTTAAATTTTTATATGTATATATTTATCATTTTAAATATAATTATTATAATTTTAGGAGGATTAATTATGGGTATTAATTTAATTTTATCTAAAAAGATATTTAAGTGTCGAAATAAAATATCTTCTTTTGAATGTGGGTTTGATCCAATATCATATAGAAAGGTACCTTTTTCTATTCAATTTTACTTGATTAGAATTATTTTTTTAATTTTTGATGTGGAGATTACTTTAATTTTACCTAGAATTATTTTAATTCAAGAAAAATGATTTTTTTATAAATATATTTTTTGTGTAATTATATTAATTTTAGTGTTAGGTCTTTATTATGAATTTAAAGAAGGGTCATTAAATTGATTTTAGTAATTGGATAAATCTAAAGTTTTAGAATTTAATTTCGACTTAAATATATAGTTAAAGTAACTTATTCAAAATTTTAGGGGTAAAGAGGGGCATGTAGTAAAAATTGTATATTGGTGTTTTATTAAATTAGCACAAAAATTTTTGGGATTTTAGGGAATAAATAATATTATTATATACAAAATTATTATGACAGATTAGTGTGTTAATTTTAGGAATTAATTAAATATAAATTGATTATATTAATAATATTAGAATTTTAATAAATGATATGCCTGAGTAAAGGATTATTATGATATAATAAGTTATATAAATTAAAGTTTTATTATCATTAATTATCATTAATTATCATTAATTATCATTAATTATCATTAATTATCATTAATTATCATTAATTATCATTAATTATCATTAATTATCATTAATTATCGTTAATTATCATTAATTATCATTAATTATTGGGGGGGGGGAATAAAAAAAAATTTTCTTGTCTATTGTTAGATTATGAATCTAAAAGTTTCATTAACTTATTTTTATTATATAATTTTAAGTTAATAAGACTATTAATTTTCAAAGTTAAAAGAATAAAATTTTTATAAATTATTTTAATATGGCAGATTAGTGCAATGAATTTAAGTTTCATAAATAAAATAAGTATTTTTAATAAAAATTTATGAAATATATTGGTTAGAGTATTTAGTAAGGAGTTTAATTGTCGTTATTATAGTATTAATTGGAGTAGCTTTTTCAACTTTATTAGAACGAAAAATTATAGGGTATGTTCAAATTCGTAAAGGGCCTAATAAAATTTTATTTAAAGGTATTTTACAGCCAATTAGAGATGCTTTAAAGTTATTAAGGAAAGAGTTATTTTTTGTAAAAAATTTAAATTATATAATTTATTTTTTAAGACCTTGTTTAAGGTTGTTATTAATATTAATATTATGAATTATTATACCTAATTTTTTTAATATAAGAATTAGAGAGATAAGAATTTTATTATTTATTTGTTTTTTAAGATTGGGGGTTTATATAATGATGTTAAGAGGATGATCTTCTAATTCTTTATATTCAATATTAGGGAGAATTCGTGCGATTTCACAATCTATTTCTTATGAAGTTAGTTTAATTTTAATTATTTTAAGAAGCTTATTTTTAATTGAAAGATTTGATATATTTAAGATGTCAAGAGTTCAAGATAAAATTTGAGCTTCTATTTATATATGAGGGGTAATGTTAATATTTTTAGTTAGAGTTGTGGCGGAATTAAATCGAACTCCTTTTGATTTAGCTGAGGAAGAATCTGAATTAGTATCTGGGTTTAAAACAGAATATATAGCAGGAGGATTTGTGTTAATTTTTTTATCTGAGTATGGTATAATTATGTTAATAAGTTATTTATTTATATTATTTTATTTTATACTTAATATTAATAGTGTTAGGATAGTGGGAAGGGTGAGGGTAATAATTTTAATTATTTTATTTCGAGGAAGGTTTCCTCGAATTCGATATGATAAACTTATAATATTAATCTGGAAAAGATTTTTAGTTGTAATTTTAAATTATTTAATTTTTTTAAACTTTATTAAATGAATTTTATTAATTATATATTAATAGTAAAAGGTTAAAGATTCAAGTTAATGAATTTGTTAAAATATGTATTTTGAATATACATTAAAGAGATTAAAATTTTCTATTAACTTAAAATAAAAATTAAAATTATAATTAATAGGAGTAGTATAAATATATCTATTAAAGTATTAAAAAAATATGAGGATAAAAATTTTTTTTGTTTAAAAAATATAAAGTTAAATATTAATTTAGTGTAAAATTCATTTCATATAGTTTCGTTTAAATAAAATAATTTATTAATTATATTAAAGGTAAAAAAATTTATTGAAAAAGATAATTGTCTTAAAAATATAAAATTTTTACAAATAGGAATAATGTTATATAAAAGTCATGAATTAAAGTAATTTGTGTAGTTTAAAGAATTTAAAATTAATAAAATTCTAAATATTATTGTATAGTGAATTAAATTTTTTATTTCTAAATTTAAAATTCTTGTGTCAATTCTATTAAATCTTAGTCAATTAATTAAATTACCAAAAATAATAGATATAATAAATAATATGAAAATAGAGAAATTTATTAAAATATTATCTTTTTTTAGGGTTATAGGGCTAGAGTGTGGTATATTGAAAGTTAAATAAAATATGAGTCGAAAAGAATAAAAAATAGTTAAAGAGATAGAAAAATATATTAAAGTTATAATGATTGGGTTAATTAAGAAGTTAAGTGTTATTTCAAATATTAAATCTTTAGAGTAAAAACCTGAGAGAAAAGGAAAGCCACAGAGAGATAAATTAGAGTAGTTAAAAAATATAATTACTAAAAGAGATTCATAAATTAAAGAACCTATTAATCGAATATCTTGTAAATTTATTAAAAAATGAATTATGATTCCTGAACATAAAAATAATAAAGATTTAAACATAGCATGAGAAATAAGATGAAAAAATACATAGTTTGGTAATTGATAGGCCAGTATATGAATTATTAAGCCTAGTTGTCTTAAAGTTGAAAAAGCAATAATTTTTTTTAAATCAAATTCGAATATAGCATTAATTCTAGCTAGAAGTAAAGTTATTAAACCAATAATTAAAAGAGGTAAAGTTATTTTTGTAAATATAAAATTGAATCGAATTATTACATATACTCCTGCTGTTACTAATGTTGAAGAGTGAACAAGAGAAGAAACTGGAGTGGGGGCAGCTATTGCAGCAGGGAGTCATATAGAAAAAGGGATTTGGGCTCTTTTAGTTATAATTATAATTAAAATAATTGAAGGAAAAATGTAAGAATTAGAATAGTAAAGAGAAAAATTTCATGATCTAAAATTTATACCTAGAAAAATAAGGATTAAAAGTATAATATCACCAATTCGATTAGTTAATAATGTTAATATACCAGAGTTGAAAGAATTTGAAGATTGATAGTAAATAATTAAACAAAAAGAAATTAATCCTAATCCGTCTCAACCTAAAATAATTCTTAATATATTAGGACATAAAATTATTAAAATTATAGAGATTACAAAAAGTATTAAAATTATAATAAAGTAAATCTTTTTATTTTCTAAAATTATGTATTCTTTCCTATATAGTATTACTATGGAGGAAATGAATATTACAACTCTGATAAATATTAGACTTAGTCAGTCTAGTATAAAATTTAATTCAAAATTTATATTTATTAAAGAAATAATATTCCATTTAATAAAGAAAATAGATTTGAAAAAAATTAATGTTAATCTATAAAAAAAAGTTAGTGTTCCTAAAATAAGTAAAGAATTGAAATAAAGGGAGTTAATTATAATTTAAAATATTTTCAAATATATTTTTGATTCCACAAATCAATATTTTAAATTTAAATTATTTAAATAATAAAAATTTATTGTTATAATAAATAAAGGAATTAGGTGAAGTAGTAAAGCTAAGAATTCTTGTATTGAGATTGAAATAAATATATTAATATTTTTATTTAAAATTCCATGTTGTGTTATAATAAAAAAATATATTGAGTATAAAACACTTGTAAATCTTAAAATTATAATTAAGGGAATTAAATTTAGTCTAAAATTTAAGATTCTATTAATTAATAAAATTTCACTAATTAAATTAAGAGAAGGATATATATTAAAAATATATAATATATTAAAAATATTTAATATAAATCAAAATAAAGTTAAGGAAAGGGTGATATTTATTAAACCTTTATTTAAAAGAATTCTTCGTGATTTTAGTCGTCTATAAGAAATATTTACTAAAAAAAATAAAGCAGATGAATATAAACCATGACTAATTATTATAATTAAGCTACCTAGGATTCCTGTTAATCTTATAGAAATTAAACCAGTAATTATAAGACTTATATGGACTACGGATGAATAGGCTACTAATTTTTTTATGTCAATTTGTTTTATACAAATTAAAGAGGTTAATAATGCTCCTAAAAGTCTTAGGGTAGAAATAAAGAAGTTGTAAATTGAGTTTAAATATTCTGATATAAATATCATTCGTAAAATTCCATATCCACCTAATTTTAATATAATGGCAGCTAAAATTATTGATCCTGTAACTGGAGCTTCTACATGAGCTTTAGGTAATCAAAGGTGTAAAAAAAATTGGGAGTTTAACTAAAAATGGGAGTAATATATATAGGTAGAAATAGATATTTTTTAAAAAATTTAAATTTATTAATAAAATAATGTTTATAAAATTAGTTATATAGTATAATTTAATTAAAATAATTATTAAAGGTAAGGAAGCAAATAAAGTATAAATCAGTATATAAATTCCTGCTTCTATACGTTCAAATTGAGCTCCTCATCCTAGAATTAAAAATAATGTTGGGATTATTCTTGCTTCAAAGAAAATATAAAAAGTAAAGTAACTTATGGATAAAAATGATAGAGTTAACGAAATTATTAAAGTGATTAATAAAGTTAAATAAATTTTTTTAAAATTTATATTAGATCAAATTAAAATTATTAATCTAAAAATTCATATAGTTAGTAAAGTTAAATAAAATGAATTTTGATCAATAAAAATTATTCATATAATTTTTATTGAGGAGTAAAGAGGAGTAAAACTTACTAAAAATAAAAAAGATAAAAGGAGGGTTCAATTTAATAATGATAAAAATATTAAAGGGGGGAAAAAATAATAGGACTTAAGGTTAAGATAAAAATTAATTTCATATAATTTAAATTATTAAATTTATTGAATTTAAAGTTCCTTTACCCCTAAATTGAATGATTATAATTAAAATTGTTAATCCTAGAATTCCTTCACAAATAATAATAGGGATAATAATTATAATATTATAATAAATAATCAAAAAAATTATTCAAAATTAATTAATAGTAAAATATAAAATATAGATAAGATTGACGAGATTATTATAATTTCTAAAGATATTAGAGTTAAAAGTAAATGGGGGTATAGATTTGTGATTAAAAAAATTGAAGATAAATAGAGTATTAGGATTAAAATAGGGAAGGGCATTTAGCTAAGTAGTTTATAAAAAACTTTAATTTTGTAAATTAAAATTAAATTAAGAATTTTTTAGCTATTTCAAAAAAATAAAAAATTATATTTTTAATCTCCAAAATTGAAGTTTTTATTTAAACTATTTTTTGAATGTATAATTTTTATTTAATTTTAATTTTTATTATTCTTTTAATTCTTGTTAGGTTGATAAGAATTGAAGAAAGGCACCCTATAATGATAGGTGTGTCTATATTTATAATTACTATAATAGTAATTTTAGTAATAAGAGTTATTAATAAAATAAGAGTTTATTCAATAATTTTTTATGTAGTTATAATTGGGGGGATTTTAATTTTATTTCTTTATTTTAATAGATTTGCTAAAGATGGAGTAATTATTATCAGGTATTTTGATTTATTAAATACATTGAATAAACTTCTTACTTTGTGTTTAATTTATGTTATTATATCAAAAATAGATTATTTTAAAAGGTTAGTTAGGAGTAATGATTCAATTATTATTGAAATAAAAAATTTTGTTTTAGAGAGAAATTTTAATTCTTTTAAGTTAATTTACATTAAATTTGATTTAATAATAGTTTTTATTTTATTATATCTTTTATATCTTTTGGTTATAGTTGTAAAAGTTTTATTTTTATTTAAACCTAAGTCTATACGACAAATATTATAATGAAAATAATTTTTTGTCAGAGTAATTCAAAAAAAGAATTATTATATTTACCTACACCAATTAATATTAATTTAATATGGAATTTTGGATTTTTGTTAGGGATATGTTTAAGGATCCAAATTTTAAGAGGAATTTTTTTATCAATAGATTATAATTCTAGAATTGATTTGGCATTTGAAAGGGTTATTCATATTATTCATGATGTTAATTATGGGTGGGTCATTTGATTAATTCATATAAATGGGGCTTCTTTTTTTTTATTTGTTTATTTATACATATTGGACGAGGGTTATATATGAGATCTTATAAAATAATGTTTCCTTGATTAAGAGGGAGTGTTATATTTTTAATAATTATAGGGGCTGCATTTTTGGGGTATGTGTTACCTTGAGGACAAATATCTTTTTGGGGGGCAACTGTAATTACAAATTTAGTTTCAGCTATTCCTTTTATTGGGAATGATATTGTTATTTGGTTGTGAGGAGGGTTTAGGGTGGGGGCTGCTACTTTAAGACGATTTTATAGATTTCATTTTATTTTACCTTTAATTATTTTAGTAATTGTTTTAGTTCATTTAGTTTCTCTTCATATATTTGGGTCTAGGAATCCCTTAGGGGTATCTAGAGATTTAAATAAAATTCCTTTTCATAAATATTTTCTTATTAAAGATTTACTAGTTTTGTTAATTATGATTATTAGTTTATTACTTATTAATTGTTTAAAACCTTATGTTTTAGGAGATCCTGAAAATTTTAATTTAGCTAACCCAATAGTTACTCCGTTTCATATTCAACCTGAATGGTATTTTCTTTTTGCTTATGCTATTTTACGATCTATTCCTAGGAAATTGGGTGGGGTTGTTGCTTTAGGAGCTTCTGTGTTAATTTTATTAATTTTACCTTTTTTTGGGGGGGGGGAATTTATAAGGGAAGTAAATTATCCATTTAATCAGATTTTATATTGATTATTTATTAATTTTTTTATTTTATTAACATGGATTGGTATAAAGCCAATTAAATACCCTTATATAGAAATTGGACAAATTTTATCTGTAATGTATTTTTTGTATTTTTTTTAAAATTATGTGGTTAAAAAAAGTTGAAATTTGTTTATAGAGTAGTTTTATAGTTTATAAAAAATTTTAAATTGCAAATTTAAAGAATTTAGATTAAATAAAACTTTTAAGTAAATTTATATTTTATATTAATTTATAAATTTATTTAAATACATAAAATTTTGATAAAAATTAATATTTTAAAAATATTATAAAGATATATTTAATTTAAAGTATTAAAATTTAAAGAAATTTTTAATTTGTAAAATTTTTATTATAGATTAATTAGAGTGCCAGCAATAGCGGTTATACTTTATATATAAAATTAATTTAATTAAATATTAAAGTAAAATTATTATTTAAATGATAAATTTAATTGGGGGAAATAAATGGAATAGTGAAATAATTTATTTAATTTAATTTAGTTGAATTTATTTATATAAAATTTAGTGTTATAAAGATTTAATTTTATTAAAATTAGGATTAGATACCCTATTATATAAGTTTATAATTAAAATATTAATAAAGTAAATTTATAGATTGAAATAGTTAGATATGACGGTATTTTAATTTATTTAGAAGAATTTGATGATTAAATTGATACCCCACAATAAGAAATACTTATAAAATTTGTATTTATATATTTTTATTTAAAAAAATTTTTTTAAAAATAATTTTGTAATTTTTTATTATAAAAAATTATTTAAATCAATATGTAATTTAAAGATAAGGTTTAATTGAATTACTATAAATTCTTAATTTATAAAAATTATATTTAAATTATATTTATAAATAGGATTTAAAGGTAAAATTAATTAATTAATTAATTTAATTTAATTTTAAAATATGTACAAATTGCCCGTCAATTTAGTTTATTAATAAATAGTTAAATTTATTTAAAATAAAGTAAGTCGTAACAAAGTAAATATACTGGAAAGTGTATTTAGAAGTTTAAATAAAAAGAAATTTAATTTTTTAGGGTAAAAATTTTTT